AATAATAATATTTTTAATAATAATTTTTAATGATTTATTGTGCTAGGATTTTACAAGTATTGGCGAGTATGCAAAAAGTAACCTTGCACGCTTTACCTGAATCCGATCAACCATGGATGATAGAAGAATTTGTAGAGAAAAACGAGGAAATATGTAGGATGGCAGCGGTAGATTTACATCGTAAGAGTACAATGATCGAGGAAGCGGTGGAAGAAGTATTACAACTCGTTAGAAAAGCCACAGATAGCTTCAAAAGCACCGCCAATTCCAATCAATTCGATTTTCTTTTTAATGAAAGTAATCCATTAATATTTATCTTTGTAATCTTGTATTTAAATACAATTTTCTTTGCCAAAGTTAGAGATTCTTAACCTTTTTTGGTCTCTATATATTTCACAATGCATTAAAATTCAATAATTAAAAATTGTATATTTTTACTCAAACTTATATAATATTTAATAATAATATAATATATTTGATAAATATATAATTTTGGCATATCTAATAATTATGACAAGAATTGTTATAAAAATAGCAAAGAAATCTACGCTTACAGGAAACTTTCAAAGCGCAATAAAAATATAAAAATAATTTTTATTTTATTTAAAAATAAAGGAACAGAGGGAGAGGAAGCGATGGAACAAACTGTCCAGCAAGATTGGTCCGTGGTATGGAATTGCTTCGATGATCCCCATCAGTTACTGATGACACCCGGTACTTTACCCAAAGGCATGCAAGAAATGGTTCGGAACGCAGTATCTGAGATGAGGCGATATTATTCCAGGAAGATCGTGGATGTATTAATAAAAGTCACCAGAGTATCTTTAGATGCAATCAGAAAACGATTTGTTCGGGAACTCGATTCCGGTAATGTTTTAAATAATTTGTTAAATAATAATTGTTGATCTTCCATTTTTTTACAATAAACAATACAATGTTTTTAACTTAAACAAAACGAAACTATTCTGATTTATTAATTTTGACAGTATTTTAATGAGTTAAGTTAAATAAATAATTTTTTAGACTTATTGTTATTGTTCGGGAACTCGATTCCGGTAATGTTTTAAATAATTTGTTAAATAATAATTGTTGATCTTCCATTTTTTTACAATAAACAATACAATGTTTTTAACTTAAACAAAACAAAACTATTCTGATTTATTAATTTTGACAGTATTTTAATGAGTTAAATAAATAATTTTTTAGACTTATTGTTAGTATTTAAAGTAAATTAGATTATGTAATCTACATAGAAACTTTATAAAATATCCCAACACCATTTATTGTATTTATAGAAGCTGCCCCGAACCCGGTGTTTTTATTGCATGCGACACTGATGATTCCGGTAGTAACAGTTAAACCAAGCTTAGATGACGTTCAAGAAGCATTGACGTCAGTTGGAAAAACTATCACAGGCGTCGCGAAAGGAGTGGCGCAATGGAATTCCAGAGGTAGCAAGGTAATCAAAAGATTATGTCATAATTTTTTAATCATGTTACAATATGCACGTTATCTATCTTCGTCATTAGAGTATGTGGAAAAATCTGCCTTATTCATCCAAACGAAATCTGGCCGATGTCATACTGCGGGCGCAAAGTAATGCCGCGAAACAGAAGCAGGAAGAACCGGAAGATCCGAAAACCAGAAGACGAAGACTTTACAAAATTCTCTCTGAGGAGAGGCCGGTATTTCCAGTTCAGGAGAAAAATTTTTATACGATGGTTATGGACAATAAAGAAATTATTAAATTGCTCGGCATGTTGAGCACTTGCACCATGGAATTGCGTCAAGTAAATTACTTAATATGAGTTTCTTAAACACATTTACTTATCGAAAAAAATTAATCGTCATATTGAACTTGCAGGATTTAAAAGAATTTCTCGATCGTTGGAAGCCTTATAAATTTCTCTGGAAGAATGAGCGCACTATGAGAGAATTGCTGCAAATTTCTTTGACAGAATTTGAAGCTACTCTCCGTAAACACAGTGAACTCGAAGATCGTTTAACTACCGAGCCGGATATGATTATATTTGGTACATCGATCGCTGTATCGACAGAAAAATTAAAGTATGGTCTTTATACGGAAATCAAAGGTAAGTGATATTAATGCATCGGTATTTTATACCGAACGGTTATATTTGAATATTATGACAATGGATTTAATTGTTCTATTATTTCAGTTATTAATTTTTTTAGTTTTAATTATAATTATTTTAATTTTAATCATTTTTGTAAGTAACATATTTAAAAACATATATACATAGTACTTTGTTTAATTCTACAAGTAATTAAAGAAATAGCGTAATAAGTAAAGAACGCATAAAAATAGTAAATATATTTATTCATAAAATTGAGTAAAGTCGAAAATAATTATAATAAAAAGGGGAAAAAAGCATAATAGTAGATATCCCTTTTCAACTTTACATTGACACATCATTAACAAACTATTCGATGTGACAATCTTCATAGGTTGCACACATAAAATCGGTCAAGCGATGAAGAAGAAGTATCGTCGCGAAATGGAGTACGTTTATGCGCTGATAAATGAAATGGATCGCAAATTGGATCACCAGATTCGCGATTTAGATGATGTACGTCTCATTATGGACACTTTGAAGAAGATTCGCGAGCAGGAGGTTGATATGGAACTTAAGATTGATCCCATCGAAGAAGCCTTCAACATAGTCACTCGATACGAAGTGCCCGTGGATCAGGAATGCTTGGAGCAGGTCGATAACTTGCGAGACACGTGGCAGAATCTGTTGGCACGAGCGCAAGAAAGTCACGTATTATTGTTGACATTGCAACCGCAATTCGAAAACGATCTGCGGAACAATCTCGAGAAATTCCGCACGGATAACGAAATGTACTGCGAGGAGTATAGATCGTCCGGACCGATGCAGTCGGGTCTGAGCCCCCGAGAGGCTTCGGATCGGCAAATACTGTTCCAGAATAGGTTCGATGGTATGTGGCGGAAGCTGCAGACTTATCAGAGCGGCGAAGAGCTTTTTGGCTTGCCCATCACCGATTATCCAGAACTTTCGCAAATCAGAAAGGAGCTGAATTTACTGCAGAAGTTGTACAAACTATATAACGATGTCATCGACAGAGTCAGCAGCTATTATGATATTCCATGGGGCGAGGTAAAAAACGCGGGGTTGTGTATTCAAAAAATACAAGATACATATTACAATATATATATAATTCAAATGCGGAAATTTCTTTTAATACGTAAAATATTATAATATTATAATTTATTATTTTTAATTTTATATTTATTAATAACGATATATTAATAAATCCTCTTAATACTTCTTATAAAATTTATGCAATATGTTATGCAGTAAACAAAAAACGTTATAATCATATAAATCATTTAGGTTAATATCGAAGAGATAAACAACGAGCTGATGGAGTTTCAAAATCGCTGTCGCAAATTGCCAAAAGGATTAAAGGAATGGCCAGCGTTCTTTGCGCTTAAGAAGACGATCGACGACTTCAACGATATGTGTCCCCTCCTCGAACTGATGGCGAACAAAGCTATGAAACCACGCCACTGGCAGAGAATCGTAGAAGTCACGGGATACTCGTTCGATCTTGAGAGCGAAGGTTTCTGTCTTAAAAATATTCTTGAAGCGCCGCTCCTAAAGAACAAAGAAGACATCGAGGACATTTGTATATCTGCTATGAAGGAAAAGGATATTGAGGCCAAATTAAGAACAGTAGTAAATGAATGGTCATCGCACGAGTTGACCTTCATGACATTTAACAATAGAGGAGAATTGTTGCTGAGGGGAGATACAACAGCAGAAACCATCGGTCAGCTGGAAGATAGTTTAATGGTCCTTGGTTCGCTCATGTCGAATCGCTACAACGCGCCCTTCAGAAAGCAGATACAACAGTGGCTCACGGATTTATCCAATACGAACGAGATCCTCGAGAGATGGTTGCTCGTGCAGAATATGTGGGTTTATCTCGAGGCAGTATTCGTGGGCGGCGACATCGCGAAACAATTACCGAAAGAGGCGAAGAGATTCAGCAAAATCGACAAAAGCTGGCAGAAGATTATGCAACGCGCCCACGAAACACCAGGAGTTGTACCTTGCTGTGTGGGGGATGATTTGCTGAAGCAGCTTCTGCCACATTTGCAGGAGCAATTGGAGCTCTGTCAAAAATCTCTGAGTGGGTAAGTATATTGCAATTTTTAATATACACACAATCTTCTTTTTTTAATAATCAAACTTAAAGAAGAATTTTTCATTATAATTTTCAGTTTTAATATAACAAATCTTAATATAATTTGTGAAATCTAATCGGCATTGTATTAATATTTGATGTATGTAAATCAAAAGTAAAAATCATAAGTATTGTACTTTGTTAAGTTTATGTGTCATTACTTAGGAAGAGAGATATCTTTTATTAATATTTGTTATACAAGAAATTTCTTTTAATAAAAATTCAATATCGGATGTTTTAGCTATTTGGAGAAGAAGCGCATGATGTTTCCAAGGTTTTTCTTTGTTTCTGATCCTGCGCTCTTGGAGATACTTGGCCAAGCGTCCGATTCTCATACTATACAAAACCACTTACTCTCTATTTTCGATAACACACGCTATGTGAAGTTTCACGACATTGAGTATAATAAAATGACAGCCATTGTTTCATCAGAAGGTGAGACTATAGTGGTAGGTATTCGCATATATTTAAGCAAATAACGTATTCAAAAAGCAAACTTATATAATATATTATTATCTTCTATATTATATGCGTTTATTACATACACATTTTTAAGTTGTGTTAAAATGTAGCATAAAAACAACTTCGAGCAAACAACAGTGGCACATTTATGATCTATGTCCATAGATTTTTTCCATCTTTAATATTTTATACAATATTTTTTAATTTTTTTAATTCATATGATAATTTAAAATAAACTTACCTTCTAAAAATAAAACACACTAAATTTATTTGTAATATTTTATATTATATACATTATTATATTATATCACAGTTTAATATTTTTGTTACATTACAGCTTGAGAAAGCAGTAAGAGCAGAAGGTTCGGTGGAAACGTGGTTGATGCAATTATTACAAACATCGCAACTTTCTTTGCATTCCATTATCCGTCAGTGTTACAGTATGATCAACGATGCAAATTTCAATTTTTTGAGTTTTCTCGATAAAATGGCCGCTCAGATAGGCCTATTAGGCATTCAAATGATTTGGACGCGAGATGGTGAATTAGCTTTGGCTCAAGCTCGCGCGGATAAAAAAATTATGATCGAAACAAATAATAAGTTCCTTGATCTTTTAAATACATTGATCGATCAAACTACCAGAGATCTTACTAAAATAGAACGAATTAAGTTCGAAACATTAATTACTATACATGTGCATCAACGTGATATTTTTGATATATTGGTATGTTTCATTAAACTCAATTTTGTTATGCATTAATATGCAACGCATGAAAACTTGAAAAATCGTTAAATCTCGATGGAACAGGAAATTAACAACTGCATGTTTCGTTTATTCAGTGCCGCTTAAATGTACGATCCGTGAATGACTTCGAATGGTTGAAACAGTGCAGATTTTATTTTAAGGAAGATTTAGACAAAACTTTAATATGTATCACAGATGTTAATTTTACATATCAAAATGAATACTTAGGATGTACCGAGCGACTGGTTATTACGCCATTAACCGATAGGTAAATACAATCATAAACTGTATTTTTGGATATATTATACAATTATTTTAATAATGCTTTTGTATTGCAGGTGTTATATAACGTTAGCGCAAGCTCTTTCAATGTCAATGGGAGGATCTCCGTGCGGTCCGGCAGGAACCGGGAAAACTGAGACTGTAAAAGACATGGGAAAGACCTTAGCAAAGTACGTAGTAGTCTTCAATTGTTCAGATCAAATGGATTATCGAGGATTAGGTCGTATCTACAAAGGATTAGCGCAAAGTGGCTCGTGGGGTTGTTTCGATGAATTCAATAGAATCGAACTGCCAGTTTTATCGGTCGCCGCACAACAAGTCGCTGTAGTGCTTGCCGCAAAAAAAGAAAAGAAGAAGCAATTTGTCTTTACGGATGGAGATCAGATCGATATGTGCCCAGAACTTGGAATTTTCATTACTATGGTAACACTATTATTTAATGAAACAAAATAAAAGAACTAAACTTGAAATAATAAATTAAAAAATTTACTTACAAGGATATTTTTTTTTAAACAAATTTGTCAAAATCTTAAAGAAAATTATACGGCCAATGACTTTTATGTATAATTTTTACGATAAACAAAGAAAGCGTTTATCAATAATATAATAGAAAAATCTATAGACGAATAATATATATTCATTAAAAAAATATATATATAAATACTTACATACACATCTTTTTTAAATTATTTAGTTTATTATTTATAATATAAGAATTACAAAACACATAAAAACACAAATTACTTACAATTAGTAAAATAATTATCAAAATAACGTAAAATGTGTAAGCTAATAAATTATATTTTAAATTGTAGAATCCTGGATATGCGGGACGTAAAGAACTGCCTGAAAATTTAAAGATACAATTTCGCACAGTAGCTATGATGGTGCCTGATCGTCAGATTATTATACGTGTAAAATTAGCCAGTTGTGGATTTCTGGAGAACATTACTCTTGCTCGTAAATTTTATACTCTTTATAAATTATGCGAGGAGCAATTGACCAAGCAGGTAACATTACAGACGTGTTAAAAAGAAAGGCGATTAAAATTTGATATCATGATATCATTTTGCAATGTATTGATTGTAGGTTCACTATGACTTTGGTCTGCGAAATATATTGTCTGTATTAAGAAGCTTAGGAGCGGCCAAGAGGGTCAATTCCAAGGACTCGGAAAGTACAATCGTTATGCGTGTTCTAAGAGACATGAATCTTTCGAAACTCATAGGTCATTATGTTAATTAATGAAGAAAATATTATAAAATTGGCTATATCTACAAATATACTATATCTACAAATATACTATATATATATAAATATATAACATATTTTCCTGTAGATGAAGACGAACCACTCTTCATATCTCTCGTAGCTGATTTGTTTCCCAACCAAACGTTGGAGAAAACATCGTATCCTGAATTGGAAGCAGCTATTAATGAACAAGTAGAGGAAGCTGAATTGATTTATCACTCGCCATGGGTGTTGAAATTAATACAACTTTATGAGACGCAAAGAGTAAGACATGGTATTATGACATTAGGTCCGACCGGTGCTGGCAAGACTACTTGCATACATACGTTAATGAAAGCATTGACACAATGTGGCAATTATCACAGGTAAAGCAATCTCTCTTGATACGTCGATGGTAAAAATGCTGTGATGTAAATAGAGATTACGTTGAAAAATAAATGTTCTTTACTGATCATAATTTTGTTTCTTTACCTGTTTAAAAATTAAATTCCGGTTTTGACGTGGACGAGTATTATATAAGCATATATAATATTTGCCGATTATTAAAAATATTTTAGAATTATCGTGACTTTCTTCGTCAAGCAGTTTTTGTGTAAAATGTGATAATAAATCATAATGCATTATAAAATAATTGTAAAATTTACAAGTTTATTGAATTTTACAGAGAAATGAGAATGAATCCTAAAAGTATAACAGCCGCTCAAATGTTCGGCCGTTTGGATGTAGCTACCAACGATTGGACGGACGGGATTTTCTCAGCTTTATGGCGTAAAACGATGAAATTAAAAAAGGGGGAGCACGTATGGCTAGTGCTCGATGGTCCTGTTGATAGCATTTGGATAGAAAATTTAAATTCCGTGTTGGACGATAATAAAACTTTGACTCTGGCTAATGGCGATAGATTATCAATGGCGCCAACGTGTAAAATTATTTTCGAGCCGCATAATATTGACAATGCAAGTCCTGCAACTGTTTCGCGAAATGGCATGGTATACATGAGTTCTTCAGGTTTAAATTGGAATCCAGTTGTTACTGCTTGGCTAAAAACACGATCATCATTGGAACAGGAAGTTCTAGATCAATTGTTTACAGATTCTTTTGCACAGGTAAATCATGAATAATCTTATCTTCTGTGATTTAATGTAATTTTAATATGTCCTAAATAATTATTT